TACTCGCTTGCAAATGTAAATGGCAGCAAAAAATAAAAAGGAGCCTCAAAATAACCCATAAAAAATATTGATTACAATTAATAAACCTTCTATAGATGATGCTTTATTAGGAAAAGGTATGACACTCATATATATCTCTACTTCTACATCCAGTAGTGTGTCAGTATATTTGGAGTCTGTAGAAAACAGAGTCACATTCTATGTGCGTCCACAAACTGATCCACAGGAAACCATCTGTGCAGTAAAATATATTTCGCTCCTCGGACACGTCTCCTGAAGCAGCAGCATCGAACCTGTGAATAACATCACTGTGTGCATCTGTACATGTGCATGTAAACAATCATGAGGTGTGTTTCAGCTCTGCAGCTCCAGTCGTCCGTCTCTGACCCTCCAGCTCCAGCGATGACACGTGTCTGGAGCAGAGACGCAGCGCAGCCACACGCACGACTCTGTGATTTCCTCTTCGAATGACACCAGCTTCCTGTCCAGAGTCTCCAGAGTGAAGGGTTTCCCCGAGATCTAGAGACGCACGAACTTTACTACACGAGTTTAAACTTAGAAAAATAAAATGTTTCCAGCTCTGAATGTGTTTTCTACCTGCTCACTGATTCCTAAGGCGACGTGGCCGACTTTGACCTGCCGTCGTTCTCGGATCCTCAGACACTGGCCCTGGACGTTCTCGATCCAGATGTCAACACCTGCCGGAGTCACAGCCTTGAAAATGCAGATGCCAGAGACGCTCAAAAAACAGAAACGCTCAGCGACAAGAGGAGAACATCTCACCTTCAAAGCAGCAGGACGACGGCTGCTTGGCCGAGGCCGACCACTCCAGGCGTCCGTCTGTGTGACTGTTGCAGGAGGAGAAGACTCCAGAGCTCAGGTCGTCAGAGGAATGATCAGAGTCCTTCACAAACACAGAGAAGAGTCGTTGTGTTTTATCAGACCTTCAGTCTCTCGATGTGAGCGTATGTAAACACACCTTCCCTGAGGCGTCCATCTGCGAAGTGTCCGAGCTGCTGAAACAGGAAGGGGGGTCATCTCGAGGTTCGGGGGAGGGGGTCTGGAACGTGGTGCCCAAAGCTACGTCTGCTGAGAGACAACGAGTTCACATCAGTGAGAAACATCTTTGGGTTTATTTATTATAAATCCTTCGAACCTTTTCACAAAACAAAGAAAATGTGATTTGATTATTCGAACATGAACACTTTGGACTTTTAACTCATCTCCATGACGACGCCTCGTCTCACTCACCGTCCCGGAGATGTTCCAGCTCGGGTTCGGATCCCCACGGGCTGTCGCCCGCCTGCTGACCTTTCTGCAGCAGAGGGAAAAGGCCTCTGAGAGCTCGGAGATAATCTGTGGACACCGACGACTCCCACTCTTCATCCTCCTCTTCTTCACGTCCCTCCTCCTCCCAGTCCCCCTCATAGTCCCTGTCCATCTTTGTCCACATCTCCTGAATGAGGTCCTCCTCCCCCATGTAAATGTCCACGTCCGACTCAGACCCCGTGTCCCAGTCGTTTTCATCTCGCAGTGATTTGGGCGGTGAGTCCGACTCCCCGCTGAAAGAATCTGCCTCCACGTCAGAGTCTTCGCTCAAGTCCTCCTCCACCGCCGTGGTTCTCCAGGGGCTCACCCAGTGCATCATGGGAGCTGACGCAGTGGCTGATGGTTTATTTGGGGGGACCAGAGGGGGCAGGGGGGGGCTCCTGCTGCCACAGTGCAGAACCTCGCAGGCAGCTTGGACAGAGCAGGGACTCAGACCTCCGACTGCACAAACAACCAGAGAATCAGTGAAATGATCAACAGAGAATCAATGAATCATTTGATGGTTAAAAAGCTTCTTGAAAAGAGCTGATGAGTTTCTCTGTTTAGCTGTAAAATATATATTTAAATGAAGAAACCTGAGATCAGATGTTTTCATTTCACAACCCTGTGCAGGAACATTAACTTTTAATATCTAGGAATAAATCAGATCGTTCACTGAAAGTATAAATAAAACTCAAGAGTTAAATAACTGAGTGATATATTGGATGGGAATTAGCCTATAAAGCTATTTTTTAAGTTTTCCATTGATCGCTCAGCCCCGTCTAATCAAACTAAACTAAACTAAAATAATAAAAATAGCATTTTACTGCTCAAGTTAGTTTTATCTACTTTATCTACAGTTTGTTTATATTCAGTCTCAGAAGTTCAGACGCTTCTTTCTTGTCCAGTTTCATGTTTAAAATGTGTTATATGAGATATTTGTATTTGAAACTAGAGTAACAACATCTGTCGAATAAATGCTCTGTGGTTGAGTAAAAGGTAGAAATATTCTTCTCTTACGGTGGTATAGATGTGCGTGGAGAATTAGTACTGAAGTACTTAAGTAAGTGTACTTTCTACCACAGAGGACGTTGTGCTGCTGTGACCTGCTCTCAAAGCTTTGGTGGTTTTCCTCCTCAGCTCTTTGGCGGACGCTCGTCTGTCCGGGTCCTTCTTGAGTCCGGCTCGGAAAACTTTGGCCGTGAAGTTGTTGCAGGTGGACGGGACCTCCCACAGAGGAGGAGGCTCGTTGACAATCTGACGAGAAGTGTGGAAAAACACTTTGGTACAGTTTTGTTCAAATCTAATCCTTAATGAAAGGTAAAGAGAGGTAAATGTACCTGCAGACACAGTGGGTGGGAGTAGTAACGTATCCACGGGTGACATCCGTTGAGCATGTGCAGCAACATGCAGCAGCTGCTCCACACGTCGGCCTTCGCACAGAGTCCATCTCCTCGAGCCACCTCCGGGGCCATGTGGGTCTCTGTGCCCGGGAACGCAGCCGCTCCTTCATGAACAGACACTGAAGTTACATTTGTGGATCTGCATCTGCCACAAGACGCTAAAGCTGCTCTCAGACCTGCACTGAACTCCAGATGGTCCCCTGGAATTTTGGGAGAGGCTGTATGTGAGAACATGTGTGAGTCACTTGCTGAGGAGTTCCTCGGAGTTTCTCAGAGTTTCCAGCCTCCTCTAATAAAAACTGTGGATAATGTCCTAATTAGCCCAGCGGGAGATTATCTGGGATTCACAGTGAGCGAGTGGATGTGTTGATGAGGTTTCTAACACAAGAATAAGAATATCTCAGGATGAAGAAGAGGAGCCAAACACGAAGAAGACGAAGACGTCAACTTAGAAAGACGAGGAGATCCCAGAATGTCCACACTCTGTTTTCTGGACATTTTACAGAGTTCACGTTTGAAAATGATGCTGCATGAGGCTGCAACAAACCTGTAACTCGCTGAAACAATGTGGATTCTGTCGAGAATCAACAGTTTTCATGAATCTTTAGTAGTTTTAGAAAATACGTCCAAATGAATTTGACAGATTTGGGCCCTGACAGAGACATCGATCTGTTTTTTATGAATGTTTGTAAAATGTCTGGATCCAAATTTCCTGAATTTGTCAGGAGATCATGTCTGAAAACATCTTAAGACACTTTGCATTAATGAATAATAATCAACTAAATGCAGAAACACTTTCCTGCTGTGTCACTAACTTCCTGTTACAGATAACGCTTCAGTCACCAGCGAGACGAATGAGACTTTTCATGATCAACAACCTTTTACATGCACATTCTTATTTCTTAAAGAAGTGACAGTTTCCTCTTGTGTTTAAAGTTGGTGTGCACGAACGACCTCGTGAACTCTGTGAACTCTGTGAACTGCTGACTCACCCCTGAAAGCTTTGGTGCTCTGGCCGCTGTCGTCCAACGTCTCTGAGAGACCGAAGTCACAGAGGAATGTGTCTCTGCAGTCTGCAGACAGCAGCACATTGTCAACTGGAATAAAATCAACACAGAGGATTTGGAGAGACAGCTTGTTTTCATTTGATGCTCATCATGAAACAGTTGAGTGAGGAATCAGGCGGCTGTCGGACGCTGTCAGGGTGACGGGGATTCTGGGAACAAAACCTACGCAGCTCTCTGCTCTCGAGGTGGCACGAGGTTAAGTCTCTAAATATAAAGCCCTGTTTTTTCCACCTCTTCATGAAGATGTGATGCGATGAGACTGTTTAATTTGGAGGCTGTCGGCCGAGTGAAGCTGCTCTCAGCACAACGCAGGGGCCTGATTTGAGCGAGACCCTCGTCCTGCTCCATCCTCTCAGTTACGCAGGGTTTAGGGGTGAGGTGTCAGTTTAGGATTAAGAACCATCACCAGGGACGTTAGCTGACAGGAGAGCAGCAGCTTTACCAGGATCCATCCCTCCCTTCATCCCTCCCAGTATCAAACAGTAGTGCAGAGAGAGACGAGGTTGTGTTTCATCACAACAAACTCCACAGGACAAAGATTTCAGTGAAAACATCTAAAACATTCCGTGAATCGGCCCCTTTGTTGGTATCAACTCCAAAATGTAATGAGTTCTTTCTCAGCCCATGTTCCATCCTTCTGCCAAGCTCAATAGTGTTTGTGTGATCCTGCTAACAAACAAACAAGCTAACAAACAAAAAGGGTCGAAAACAAACGAACCCTTGACGTCCAAGTGAAGGACCTTCCTGTGGTGCAGGTGTTCCAGCGCCCCCAGTGACTGGTGGAGGTAGTACAGGGCCAGGTCCTCGGGCAGGGAGGTCATCTCTTTCAGGAGCTGAGCCAAACAAGCTGAGGAGGTTTGGAAAAGTCGTCTGTGAGCATCACGTCCTTGTGAATGAGATGTGGTTTGAACAGTTTTCACTGTGACGTGTATACCTGGCTTCAGGTCCATGAAGAGCACGACGTTCAGCCCCTCCCTCACCGCTCCGAAGAGCTCCACGACTCGAGGAGAGTTCAGAGCGCTCCACGTGCTCACCTCCTCGCGGCTGAAGTGACTCAGTGGAATCTGGAAGGTTTTCGTCTCATTGACTCAATCATTGACTATTGTTTCCAAAGTTCTGGGTGTGGGTGCGTATCTGGATTTCACAGAATGACTCACACCCTCTCTCTCTTGACTTACCCTCTTGGCAGCACATTCGAATCCCGTCCGCTGGTCCCGAACACAGAACACGTCACCGTACGAGCCGTTCTGGATGTGGTGCAGGACAAAGTAGTCCTCTCCCTCCCGGTACTCACACTGACCACTGGGCTGCAGTCGCTTCAGGAAACAAGATTCGACAAAACAGTCATAATGAGAAACGGGCTGAAGAAAATAGAAGAGCAGTTAAAGATGAAATGCTGTTGCTCTTTGGAAACATCCAAGTCACTGACGTCTGAAGATGTTGGAGGAAAAATACCAACTGTGTCAGAAACATCTTGATGCTGAAACTAGTATTAATTCTAATCTAGTGGATGTTTTGTTTAACAAACAAATCAGCGTAAAAGATTAAATATGGGCAGTGACGCTTCCATCGTCTCTCTTTTCATATTTGGAAAGGCAGAATAAATTAGCCCTAAGTCCTAAATTTGAAAATATCTTACCTGATGAAATATGAGTCCTTCGTTGACGGGTACGTTTTGTTTCCAGTCGTTTAACGTCTGTGGTAAGAAATCTTTGAAGAAAGGTGGAACAAACTGCTTCGGCATCTGCGTCACTCTCCCTCTCATTTCATTCACAACGGCGTCGAGATCACTGAAGTCATGTAAGTCGAAGGACCGGCGGGATGTGTTCACAGAGTCTGAAAGTCCCAGCAGGCTTTGCGCACACTCTGTAGAGTCAGAATCCCACTGAGCAGGACAGGAGTTAAAACCAGACACGTTCAGCAGGTCAAAGGTCGAATTTGAAACTTTGGCTTCGACTCCAAAGCTCTCGGGTGCTGGTGTGTCGTCGTCCGCACAGCAGGATGAGTCCGAGTCACTTTCATGAGTACGAATAGAATCCAAGTCCTGCACCGAACAATCAGAGTCCGACGCTCCTCTGTCACCAGAGCTTGATGTGTCGTCTGTTTCTATTGATCCATATTGATCGTCTGATGGTGACACATCCTCTGATCCTCTGACACAGTCACAGACATCTGTGCAGCTGCAGATTTCATCATATACACAAGAGAGCCGGCCTCCGCCGCTGCAGGAGCACGAGTCAGTAAACTCAGGAGGAGGCGGGAAGACCTCAGTCGACGAGGTCGCCTCTCCGTCCACTGACTTCAGCCAATCGATCTCCTGCACCCACAGACCACGGATCACAGGACGCTGTTCTCCGTCCTCCTGACTCTGTCTCGTTCCGGTTTTCCTGCGCTGTTTCCTCTGCAGGTGCTGGAGCGGGAGTTTGGAGGCCTCGTCCAAGTCCTCATCCTCGGTGTCAGTGAGGAAGGACGATTCTTTGACCACAGACCTGCAAATGAGAAGATATACAGCGTGAAATACAAACTCCCTGTCTCACAACCTCAGTAACCTTTTCAGTCTCAGTCTGATTGATGATGGAGCGGAGAGGAATCCTTCCATCAATCCATCATCACATTCTCTTGCTCCTCCAGGAGGATCCTGAGGTGTACCGAGGCCACATGTGATATTTAGTCCCTCCAGCAAGTTCTGGGTCTTTGGGTGTATCCGCTAAATTCTGATCCTATTGCCTGTCCATCCCCTAGTTCGTCAAATAGAAAATAACTTCGTCCCATTCGTCTTTCAACATATCAAGTCTTCCGGGCACAAGTCCGAAGGTAGTATAGACACACAGACTCATACAGACACACCTGAGCTTTTTGAGCTGCTGAGATCTTGAGTAGGGACGCTGAGTCGTGGTGGGACTGAACTCCTGGAAGTCTTCTCCTGAGACGGAGGGAAACAACGTAGAGTTTAACAAGTGTTGAAGAAGAGTTTTTATTTGATCAAATAACCAGAAACATGAAAACTGGAACAAATGACAGCGATAAGACAGAAGCCATCTCTGACAAACAGTAAGTTAATGTCTGATTTGATGTTTTACATTGGTCCCTGCCCCATCTGCTAACATGGATGAGGCAGGGTTTATGACCTTTACTGCAGGCAGCCACCAGGGGGTGATCAAGGTTACAGTAGTTGATCTACATGGATTCTTACTCTCAGCCTGAGCGACTATGGAGACACATGGATTCTCTGCAGACACTTCCTGTCCCGCTGGGACCACGTGCTTGGCGGTGCCGCGCTGCATCACCCGGCTCAGGTGCGGCGCGATGGCCTGGACCAGCGACTCCTTCTCCTCCTCACCAACATGGCCGTCGTCCTCTTTGCCCAGAAACGAGAGCTCAGATCCTCCGGCCACGATGATGAACGGCGTGTTGGAGTTAAACACCCGTGGAATCGCCATCGCTCTGAGAACTGGAGGAGGAGAAGAACAAACACACGCATTTGAAGTTGTTTATAAAATAATATAGTTCTCTCAATCAAAACAATAACAAAAGTTTCATGATGTCGTGAAGCAGCAATGGATCATGGGAGTTGTTGTCTTCACCACCACATTCACGTTACACAGATAATGAATAATGTAAATAAAGATGGACGACATGTCTCCACTTCCTCCCACTGCACAGAAATGAAAACATCTCGCAAACGGACGCCTCCATCTCCGAGGTCCCACCCACATATGGGCTCAACCAATCAGGAGTCAGTGTCAGCTGTCAATCAGGAGTCAGTGTCAGCTGTCAATCAGGAGTCAGTGTCAGCTGTCAGTCAGGAGTCAGTGTCAGCTGTCAATCAGGAGTCAGTGTCAGCTGTCAATCAGGAAGTTTTATGGCAAAAACTAATAAAAAGCTCCTTAAATTAACAGAAACCATATTTGTTGTGTACGTTTCACTTTGGTCCGTGTCCCGTCTGCTAACCTGTAGGAGGCCAGATTCACGAGCCGTGCTGCAGCCAGCCACCAGGGGGTGATCAAGCTGTTCAGATTTTACGTATGGGCGCTGTCGCGTCTTCCATCTTTATATAACCCTAAAAAAAAACAACACCCACGGGTCAATTCATCCGCAGTCGACAGCAGATTTGTGATCGTCAGGCATTTTGATGTGGTGGTATTTGCCGTGGCCGGGGCGTGAATGAACAGACACCAGCAGCGAGCCGGGCGAAGGGGAGTATAAATAGCCACATGCTTTCCACTGGGTCCAGCTGTCAGAGTCTCTCTCAGACGCTCGCCATGTTGACGGCCAGCACACGGATCAAAACACACAAAGACAGGACTCGTACTCACGTCCTCGCTCTCAGGCTGCGTGAGAGGACAGAGGAGGAGCTTTCATTTCTCTGTGAAGGTCAGAAACTCTACTGCACGCTCGATAACTTTCCCATCATTTTAAAGTTGATTTAAATTGTAGAGAAATGAAAGAAGCTGGAGCTCAGGGGATGAATCCAGGACGTGAAACATCTACATCACCAGCATCTCAAACAATCCTCCCATGTTGCACCTCTGCCTCCTGGGAACTTCACCCAGAATTCCACCTGCCTCTCAGCTCCGAGGCCTGTGAACACGTCCAGTGAGACAAAGACTGACGCTGAAACCCACAGAGGACGTTACCTCTCAGGGACAATCAGGGGGCTCCCTCCTGTCTCAGGTGAGGTCCAGTGATCCTGGTAGAGGAGGAAGAGGAGGAAGAGGAGGAGGAAGATGTGTGTCCTTGTGTCTTCCTGTCGGTTTGTCTTGTGTCCTGTGTTATAAGTGTCCAACTGAAACCTACCGGCTTTCTGCCCCCGCAGCCTCAGCTGATTGGTCGACCATGTGTGTGAGTTATGAACTTCTACACCTCTGTCACCACCTCCTCCTTCTCCTCCTCTCCCTCCTCCTCTTCCCCCGTCCACCCACACACAGACACCAGCGTCCGAACAACGTAGATGCCCTCTGTGACCCCGAGCTCCTCTCGGACCCTGAACGTTCCAACTATTGCACTTTCACTGCAGTAAAGTATAAATACACTCACAAGAGCCACCACACGGATGAGAGGTCGTGGAATGATTGAAGAAGGAAAAGTATTTCTGTAAATATTCAAAAAGCATCTGGAACATGACGACAACACGCAACTAAACGTGTAAACGCCACAAATACTAACCACTGGCTTCATGTCAGAGAAAATAGTTTGAGCTGTTTTCTCCTCATGTAAAACTTTAATTAGAAAAGTATAAAACTATAAACGTAGTGTAATATTTCTCTGAATCATAGTGTAATAGAAGTTTTAGTAGCATAACATCAAAATACTTGAGTACAATTACTAACTTGAATAAATGCACTAAGTGTTCTTCAGTCTCTGGCTGCGGGACAAGCCGACAGATGTGCTTTAACATTCACACAGTATTTCATCGCAGCACAACACTGAAAACACAGTAGATCAATTTAAAGTACACGTTAACAATATTCTCATTAGTTTGAAATGAGGTTAAATACACTTTAATGTGATGTGTCAAAATAACACAATAGTGTGTGTATAGGAGTTCGATTGTATAATTTCTATAATGTTAGTGCAGAATTTGATTAAGAATAAATCACAGGACTTGTTTTTTTTTTTTTTGGGATAAATGATTCACTATAAACATTGAAAACCTTCATGTGTGGATTTTGCACAAATTTTTCCAAAGGTTCAAATAAAAAACTCGATCAATGATACAATCAACAGTTAAAGGGAGATTTCACTGTTTTATAAATTTGATTCATTGACACGTAACCGTCAGTTTCCAACACATCTGCTGTCCCACATAGAGACGACTGGAATCTATACAGTCCTGAGGGACAGAGGGGGTGTGTGCATGTGTGTGTGTGTGTGTGCGTGCGTGTGTGTGTGTGTGTGTGCGTGCGTGTCAGAGGCGCCCTCTCCCTGGCAACATGAGGGGATCAGCGTCCGACCAATGGCGACGCAGAGGAGGAAGTTTCACGTCAATGGGTTTTTGTCACTTGGGTCGACTCTGCTAAACTTAGACCTGACAAACTTCTGAGACTCTTAGAAACTAAGTGATGGATGAAAACACGACGATCAACATGTTTCAAACCTTCAATAAAAAAATCTTTTATTCTTCTCATTCTCGTTTCCTGTTGTTAGTCAAGTCGTAAAGGTCGATATCACACTCGCCTATTGTGGACCTGTAGCTAGCTTAGCTTAGCATAAAGACTGGAAGCAATAGAGAGATGGTGGTGTTGTTATTTTGTGAACTATTAAAACTGATAGCTTTACTTATTGTTCCACTCTGCTGTTGTGGTTCAGTTAAAATACTACAAGTTAAAGCACGTTCAAAGTTTTACTTCAAAATGTACAGAAAGTATCAAGATACTCATTATGCAGTAGAGGTGTTTTATGACCAACTAGTACTGAAGCAAACAGTACTTTAGTGTTGTGATTAGTCATTTTCACTATGATGCTCAGTTTTTTGTATTGATGTTTTTTAAATTATACATTAGAGCACAAACGAGTTTAGTGGAGGTGCAATTAAGTATAAAATGGAAAAATGAGTAAATGTACATAGTCGCTGTTTTCCTTCCACGTTTATTCTAAGGGACAAAGCTCGTGTGGTCTTTCTGTGAAGTCTGCGTCGAAGGGTTTTCACATCAGTAACTTTCCTGCTGATCTTCAACAATGAGGCCAAACACAGCGGACGAGCATCTGACCTCATTCGGCTGAAGCACCATGTGTCGTCCATTGTTTTCCACTGAGGCAGAAACAGACTCCACGTCTGTTTCCAGCCGCCAGAGGGCAGCTGATGATGCAGGGGGCCCCCCCCCTCCATCGGCCCGAACCCCGAGACCCCCCCCATCCCCACCCCACCGTCGTGTTTACTCTGGTTGTCATAACAACATTCTGATGACGAGGCCGAGGGAGGCGGGTGAGGGGGGGTAAGAGGATAGGGGAGGGAGAAGGTCAGAGGAAGTGTGTGGGCGGCTGATTAAACTTCAAACATGACCTCAGTGAAGTTAATTATCACCTCGAGCAAACTGATATTTTCAACAACTTTATTTTAATCTCTTTAACCCCGCCCCCCCCCCAAACAAAGTTCTCTTTTAAAGGAATCAAAACACAACAATCAATCAGGACTGGTTTCTAAAATCAGCAGTGACACCGAGCACCGGACGTCAGAGACCAAACATTTAGCATCTGTTCAGCTTTAAAATCAGAATCACCTCATGACACGTCGAGTAACTACAGATTCAAGAGAAGGAGCAGATCGAGGGTTTGTGAATCTTCAGAAGACAAAACTAAAAGAATCTACGATGAAGAACTCTCGCATCAAGAAATCTACTTTACTCTTGCATCTTCTCTACTTTATCTAATTTCCAGATTAAGATGGATCCAGAAATCTTATTCCACCCTGAACAGTGTCTGCAGGTTTTTCCCTTCAGGCTCCGTCCGCTGCCAACAACCACCTTCATCTCGTCTCTGGCAGCCAGACGGTCGCGTAACAACATCTTCACGAAGGGAATCAACACAAATCTTTAGAAGCTTTGGGGGGAAAAAGGTTTTGAATTGGATTTTTCCATCTCCGCTAGGAAACGATGCCCCTGTGTGTTGTTCAAAAGCTTGAATCCAGGCAACAGCATCGTCTGAGTCTTTGTTTTTCGCTCTGTGCTGATGGAGCGACTCCTGAATTTGTTTCCCCGGGACACTGAGATGTGCTTGGCTCTTATTTCTCAGCTGTGTTTGGAGAAATCAACCCTCAACTGTCCAAAAAACACAAAATAACACGTTTGTTCTTTCCTTGACGATGGTCTGAGACGTTAGAGAAGGCACAGGCTCTTTGTTCCGTCTGACGCTGATCTTTTCCAAGAGTCTGACATGATTTCAACTATTTCTACAACAATGTTTTCAGGACTGCTGGGTCTTTAAATCTCAGATAAAATAAGGATTAAATAAATCAACACACATCAAATTCACAGTCGGACGACAAACTTAAATTTCCTCTAAATGTAGATTATACCCGACGTGCTCGTCACGAACCAACACACAAAGAAAAGCTGCTTCCTGTGCGAGCGGGGACCAAAATATTCTCAAGTCTGACGCAGCGTTTTGTCCAGATTAAGGCAGAAAGAATATTCACGTCTGTTTTTATAGAAAAACTAAACAGACAAAGAGAAACTGAGACAGTGGAGACGTCTGCAGACGAAAATGCTGATGCTCTGCGTTTTTCTTATGATGAACTAATCCCATGAAAAGATGAACCCAGTGGTTACTTCATTATAATAAATACTAAATCTTCCTGTGATGTCACATGAATTCTAAATAACTTTTGGGAAATTATGCAAAAAATGTTCAGGAAATTATCTTAAAACTACAGAAACATGTGAATCAAAGCTTTAACTTCTTTTTATAAACATGTTTGTACCAATGTTTTTAAGGACTGGAGGTAATCTG